CCCCAGCCACGGCTACTTTCTGCTTTCTCTCCCCACCAGGGAGGAGGCCCTCGTGGCCCTGGCAGCAGCCAAGGCAATTGGTTTAAGGTATCACTTATGCTGGCCATGCTGGCCTTCTCCTTCCCTCTCCCCCCTACCCTCTTCACATGAAACTTCCGAAAAATGCAGGGAAAGCGTTTGTATTGTTCTGCTTGTAAAACATGACACAGCAAAGCCCGGTGCTGCACCGGGGGACCAGTTCGAACGTCTGGGATGGGTTACATCCTGCCCTCTTGGGAAACACAGGCAGGGCCGGGAGTGGCACAGGTCCTCTCCATGGGACACACAGGCTCCCGAGCACGTAGGCAGCTGGCCTTCTAACTTACTGGCCCCGTGCACAGTATCTTCAAGGGGGCAAAATGCCTGGGTTGGCGGGCACAGCCAACCAGCCAGTCCACTAGCTGGCTGCTGTCCAGGAAGCACTTTGCTCCTATTCAGGGGGGGCAGCAAAGATTGCACTGAAATACTCACCTTGGCCCACCTTCAAATCCTGCTCTGGGAGGCCAGTTTTGCTCTCAGCTCCATCAGTGCAACCCCATCCCAATTACAGTCATGCAGCGATTAACGCACGTGGCACTGAGAGCAAGACGAGGCCCGAAAGCCCACAGTTTTCAACCACCAATGTGCCCTCCAATTTTTTTCCATCCATATGCAGAATAAATTTTGCCATGAGCACCAAGACATGGGTGGATGTGCACCATACATCTATCCTCACACACCCCATCTATCCACTCATCTATGTACCACCGAACACCCTACCTACCTATCTATCCTCAAACACCCTATCCATCCATCCATCTATTGATCCATTTATCCCCACACATCCCATCTATCCACTCATCTATGTATCACCGAACACCCTACCTACCTATCTATCCTCAAACACCCTATCCATCCATCCATCTATTGATCCATTTATCCCCACACATCCCATCTATCCACTCATCTATGTATCACCGAACACCCTACCTACCTATCTATCCTCAAACACCCTATCCATCCATCCATCTATTGATCCATTTATCCTCACACACCCCCATCTATCCACTCATCTATGTACCACCGAACACCCTACCTACCTATCTATCCTCAAACACCCTATCCATCCATCCATCCATTGATCCATTTATCACCACACATCCCATCTATCCATCCCCAAACACTCTCTCTCTCTCTCTCTCTCTCTCTCTCTGTCTTCATCATCATCACAAGCCAGTTTGGCCCCCTGTTTCAGTTGCAGGGCCAAATTAGATTAGCATTGCTGCTGGCTGAAAGAGAGATGTCTCAGCAATCCAACTCTAACACACACTGGAGGAGTAGGTGGAAGTCTGTACCACACACCACTTCAATTTGCTAAGCCGGTCAAACTACACCCTCAGCATGTGTACAGTGAGCTCCTCTCTACTGACCTGGAAGTCAAAACAGCCTACAAAATCAAAGAACCCGACAGGTTTTCCACTGCAGAGCACTGCGGAGAAAAAGCTACTTACCACTGGCACTCCTTTTAATAGCACCACCCAGAGGCATTTCATGTCTCGTCTGGGAGAAAAAGGGTCAAATGATCTGCTGGTGTAAACTGATGCCGTTTCATCAAATTCAGTGGAGTTAGGCCAATTTGCACCAGGAGAGAATTTGTCTCAATTGGTGCTGGTTTGGGCTTAGAAAGGGGCCTGGATAAATTTGTGAGCAATAATATATATTAGTTTTTGCTCTGAAGTATGAATTTTGGCTTTTCTTAGGAATATAAAATATATAATAAATATATAATATATAATTAATTAATATATATGCCTAAGAAAAAACAAAACTCTTTCTTCAGACCAAAAACTAATCAGTGCCCAGTCAGGAAGGAAATTATTTTCCTTCCCACGTGCAGCAAGGCATCATTGTCCGGCTGTGTTATGGGGTTACTGAGACATCTTCCGACACATGAGTTCCCGGCCACTGAGCAAGGCGGGATATCTGACTCACTGCCCAGCTATCTGAACTAGAAGGGCAAACTCCTTGCTTCCTTAGGATCCTTGAGCAGTTCGACTTTGCTGTTTTTCACTCCGGGGCAGAGGGACCGATATGGTGACATCAGAAAACAAAACGTAAAGAGTTCGGGATGATTTTCCAGCAGTGTGAGAGAGCATGACTGTACTTAGGCACGTGTGTTTTACACATTTACTGAGAACCCTAGATCTCGTCTCTATGACTTTGGTGCAAACCCAAACCTTTTTTGGGTCGGGGGCCACTGACCCAGAGAAAGATCAGCCAGAGGCTGCACACAAGTGGGAAGAAAAAAAATCACTAATGTGGCCCCTGACTGAGAAGGAGAAAGATACTCTCCACTTGCACACCAGAGTTTAGAGAGGGGCCTACCACAGGTTCCCCAATGCTGGGGGGGAGCCCCAAGCCTTGGGGCCCAAATCCAGGCAAACCAGGGGCCGCATCCAGCCTCCGGGCCGTAGGTTCTCCATCCCTGGTGTAAACCCATAACAACTCCACTAAAATGAATGGTGTTATTCCAGATTGACCCGGAGATCAAAATCTGGCCCTGGGGACCCCACAAAGAAAGAACCCTGGTTTTATCATTCAAAGGGTTTGATGTTAGAAAGTTAAATCCTAGAGATCAAAATCTGGCCCTGGGGACCCCTCAAAGAAAGAACACTGGTTTTATCACTGGTTTGATGTTAGAAGGTTAAATACTGGCATGCTGGTGGATATTCTCTGGCACTCAACAGGGTGGAGTGGTTGTCAAGGAATTCAAAAGATCCATACTGGAGGAGACAGCAAAATATCTAGGAGGCCTAAGCGACGGACGCAGCCTGACAATGATGTCACAGCTGAAAACATTCCAGAATGCCTCTGACGTGTCACAGAGGTGTTTACATGGGAACGTTAAATACTGGCATGCTGGTGGATATTCTCTGGCACTCAACAGGGTGGAGTGGTTGTCAAGGAATTCAAAAGATCCATACTGGAGGAGACAGCAAAATATCTAGGAGGCCTAAGCGACGGACGCAGCCTGACAATGATGTCACAGCTGAAAACATTCCAGAATGCCTCTGACGTGTCACAGAGGTGTTTACATGGGAACTGGCGAGCTAAGCTGCTATATTCCCCGGCCATTGTGCT